TTTTTTTTTTTTTTTTTTTTTGGTTTGGTTTAACGACGCATGAGAATTAAAAAAAGAAAAGAGGTTGACTTAGAGTACAAATTTGAACTTTGATTATGTTTTGTTGTGAGATTTGACGTTAGTTGAAAATGTCAACTAAATATTTCTTATAAGGGTGTAGAAACTTCTCCTTAATAAACACGTTTTAAAAACTATGACACTGAAAGTGATACGTAACGAGTCAAAGCGGACAATATCTACTAGTTGTGGACTTGGACGGTTACAAATAATATCACATCTTTGCACCAAATGCAGACAACTATTATTATTATTATTATTATTATTATTATTATTATTATTATTATTATTATTATTATTATTATTATTATTATTATTATTATTATTTAAATATAATATCTTAACTAATTGAATTATATTTTATTATGATTTTGGATTGGTTCAAAATTAATGTATATATATGGAAATTAGTGTTTTTTTTTGTTAAATTATAAATTTAGACTCTAAAGTTTTGATTTTTTTTTTTTTTAATTTAGAAAGTTATGGAAATTAAAATTTTGGAGTTTAATTAAACTTAAAATTTAAATTTAAATTTAAAAAATTATTTTTTAAAAAAATTAATTAGTTAATGATTTATCCAAGAGTATGAAAAAAAATCAATACATATCTCAAAATTTAAATATTAAATTTCTTCCTATTGTTGAGGTAGTTGAAATAAGTTTGCTTTGGTTTCTATTGAAAACCATTCCATTCAGATCGAAAGAAAATGAGATCACAACCTTTATTTACTATTTGATCGGGTCAAGATCATGACTATTTAAGTCAATTCAATTATTAGCTCACCGAGTGAGTGGATCAAAGCGTTTGAAGTAAATAATTGATATGAGGGAAGCCCACCAAAGCAAGACTTCGGGCAAGACTATAGGAGAGAACAATAAATGATAAAAAAGAATTTTGTAATTTAATTTTTTTTTTGTACGTTTACTAAAACATTTTTACGTAATCTTATTTTTACTCTCGTATATTAGGAAACTACATTATTTTTACTTATAGACGTTTATTACTAATATATAATTTAACATTCACGTACATTTTTTAAAACTTTGTCAATCTAATGTGAAGATAGCAAAGAACTCTTTTTGGAGACTTTTTGTTGTTTTCCTCTTGTTGGCTTCTTTTGGAGAATGTTTGATTTTTCCTTTGTTCTATGTCGTGAGATTTTCGAGACAAAAGGTGGTTTTACAATCGAAAATCTTGCTCTATAATCCACGGGAGATTCAAGATCTTGCTCAATCTCTCAGGAAACTTCTATGAGTATTTGTCAATACAAAAATTCATAGTTTTTCTAATGACACAGAGTTTGGCAAATCAATAAAACGCACTAGAAAAGAGGTTCTTCCAATTCACTAGACCAGTCCATCGACAGAACCTTGTCGTAAAAACCTTTCCCAACGCACAAAACACAACACATTAGTAGAGTGCCAAGAATGTAAGTCAGCTAAAACAATCACTACAAATGCCAACAAGGTGTATCGACGGCGAAGGCAACCTCTACCAATAAATAAATGTAAACAAAAATAAATTTTATTGAATCAAATGTGTTATAACAACTTTTTCCTGGAATGTACGTTTTAAAATAAAATTAAAACTACAACATAAATATTCACCAAAATAAAGTTTCATCCTGGCCCGCTTAATATCATCATAAACTTTCAAAGTAGGTACCTAACAAAAACAAAATCAATATCAAGTTCATGTGACGATGAATACTAAACTCAAACAAAGATACAGTCGTTTTGATGGTCAATGTTTTAAAACTTTGCACGTGTAGCCAACATTAGAACTCAAAAATAATAAGTTGATGATAGAATGACATGTTAGAATATATCACCAGCCAGATAAGGTCAAGCCCAATAATTGTAAGTCCATTGTATATTTTATTTTAAAAGAATGATTTAGATATTTTAAAAATAGATGGATTAATCTCTACGGTAAATACCCCTCCATCCTAACTAGTTTTTCATCCCAAGATATCTCAAGAAATTTCAAACAGTTTTAATCGGAAGAAAGTGTAGTAGTATTCTACGGAAAGTATTATAATATCTATTCGATGAGTGCGAGTGTTTGATAATAAAAAGTTGCTATGCTCCATTAATAACAGTAAGAAACTGATACATGCTTTAAGATTACCTTGTTCACGTGGGGTTTTCTTTCTTAGGCAGCCTTTCCATCTCAAGATTCCAAGAACCAAGATGAAAACTACGATCATACCAGCAACAATTCCAACCACTGCACCGGCGGATATGCCATTCCCTCCACCTTTTGATCGTGGCGACGACTCTTCTGATGGTGGCTCGAAGTCTGCTTGGAGAGAAGAGAAACAGTAATTACAGAGAACCTAGCTATGGCTAATGAGGTTACAGACATCTACCTGTTTATGGGTCTACCTACCAGGATCAACAGAAATGGCTGAAATTAGAGGACCATAAACTCCTCTCTGAGGGACTGCAGTTGTCCCCTTCCCAGCCCAATATAGCCGGATTTCTATAGTACCATTAGTCACAGAAACAGGGAATTTCGCTATAAAAGCTTTGCCAACACCGCCGGCTGCATCTGCAATATTAAAATCCTTCAACTCTAGCTTTCCCTGCAGGATAAATCAAGGAACTTTAAAGATAACAAAGTAATCGGTTAAGTTCGGTGCTAATAGAAGCTAATAATGTAGAAAATATATAAAAAGGTATCTTGAAATGGGGCAATCAGATAGTTTCATAACGAGCAGAGGCACGATATCGATATGTACCTGAACGTAGACATCAAATAATCGTCTGCCCAGGCTTCGAAACGTTTTGTCATTAGTAAACACTATCTCAGCAAAATGGAGGCTTACTGTGTAGTTTCCACTACCCAAGCAATGTGCATAGTAAGTAAGAGAAATTGGTGAAATACGTGCCCTCACGTACAATTCAGGATTTGGCATTGTGAGAGCAGATGAATTTAATGCAATAAAATCGTCTGTTGTGCGATCGTCGTCCATAAAATTACCAGTGATACTAAATCCCCAATTTTCTGCACCGGAGAAAAACAGTGATGATTTTCCAGTGTTTGTGTCTGCATCAAATTTGGTTGTTCCGTTGATTGATTCTTCCTTCCCACCACAGTTGATATGGACAGAGTACGAAGCTGCAAGAACAAGACCATATTGGTTTCTATTGAAAGATAAATCAAATAAACAGAGCTGATTAATGTATTTTTGCAGAATTATTATTAAACATATCAATGCCACTTCTAAATAAACAATGCTAGTAAAACAAGATTCCAACTCACTTCTTTCACAAGTGCTCGGTATACATGAAACTGTTCCACCGCTAAAACAAGAAGAAGCTCAATGGTTATTAGAATATTAGACAATTCAAGCAACAAGTCAACTCAAAGAAGATCAAGAACTCACGAACTGTTGTCCTGGGAAGAGCTCGCAAACAGGTTTCTGCACAGAACAACGAAGATTGGATAGGTATTTCTCATTAGTTATAAAAAAAAGTTGTATAAGAACAGAAGCATACTTACAAATTTCGTGATTGACAACCAGTGTTCTCACTATTGATTGGAGTAAATTTGTTATAAGAGAGATCACTGTGAAAAAGAACAACAATCAGATTTATTATCTTCCAGATAGCAAGAACAAAAACTTGCCCTTCCCTTACATCCTAAGAATAAACAAAAACAACCACAGGAATGTTAATTAGAGCTAAAACTATATTTAAACTCGAAAACTGTCAACTTTTTCATAAATAAAATGTTCGAATATCTATTTTTTAAAAAAATTAACTAAAAACATTAATTGTGTACAAACAAACTTTCATTTTTAAATCACTGGAAATAGAAATGATTGTGTAAAACAAGCAAGATGCTTTTTCCTTTTCAAGGTTTGATGAAATGAGATATTATTTATTCTCTCTCACTCTCTGAAATTGTTCCTTTATTTTGAAATCTCAGGTCATCTAATTTCAATTTTGGTTCCTCTAGACAAGTAACTAGAACATAGCATTTGGAAAAGAAACTTACATGCTCTCTCCTTGCTGTAGCATCCAAACAGGCACCGATCCATTTAGCATGTTTCCAGTTAAATATCTAAATTAGAAAATATCAGATTATCAGTGCAACTAATAAGCTTTTGACAATAGGAATGATGACAATGTATGTTTTTTTATAATCAACGAACGATATTATAAAGATGTTGTGATGAAAATAAGCTACCAGACAATCAAAGTTATGATCGAATTCAAACGTTTTACCAATATCAAAATCTATGCATATTGAGATAGTATAAACAAAAAGATCAACATTAACCGAAGAATACTCGATCTTATTCCCCAAGTTATGAATTTCAGCCATTGATCAAGCTTGATTATCCCCCAAGTTATGTAAAGCAACTGTCTACAGTTAAGATATAGATTTTCAAGTTTATGATTACGTTACTCACATGCTATCCACTTTTTTTAAAGCTTCAAAGCTGTCAGGTATTGGTCCAGTAATTTTGTTGAAGCTGAAGTCTCTGCAGAAGAAATTTAGCAAAATAATAACAAAAATGTATTGCCAAAGAACAGTGAAGAATAACTAAACATTAAATTTCAATATTTCAATAACTGACCCAAGGAAGTTACTTTTACTATATCAACATAAACTAAGGCATATTATTGGTTTTTTTTACGATGAAAGCAAAGAACAGATGCGGACATTCTTTTGATAAGTCATTTGTGCAGTGAAAGTAGTGCAAAAATTTAGGGTAATTAAATATTCCATCACAAGAAAGTAACCATCTTCTGAAAATTCATGAGATTGTGCTTAATCATGATATAACATATAGGAAGAATCGAGAGTGAAATTTTACTGACAAGGTTTTCAACAGTGTCAACCCATCAAGATTGTCCGGTAGCACCCCAGTTATATTGCAACTCCTCAAAATCCTACAGATATCCCAAAACTAAATTAATAGCTGGGATTATGTACAAGGATGTCTTCATGTTTTCACAGAGGGATTAACTTACAGGGTTTTCAATTTTGTCAATGTATTAAGGGGTGGAAAGGGTGATGAATCTCCATTCAAATCACTGATTCTCCTGCATTTTGTAACTCAAATATGAATAAATAGAAACGTGCAGTACTCATAACTTATAAAACCATGAGGAACAGGAATTAAACTAACACATCAGTTAATTTTGTCAAAAGTCCAATTTCAGAAGGAATTGGCCCATCCAACCCGCTTGCCTGAATAGCTCTGTCACAAGTAAATTAATCGAGGGAGTTAAAAGATTAGAATCCAAGTAAAACTAAGAGTTGCTAGAGTCGAGAAAAACTCTCACATTTTTGTAAGAGCCGTCCAATTCTGTACAAACTTAGGTATTTGCCCTGTGAAGTGGTTATCACTAATTCGACTGCAGCGTAACAATGAGAAGATTTGTTTCATTCATTCAGTTTCTCAAATTAAACTAACGAAATGAAGGGTTCAAGAAAATTTCAAAAGCTTACAAGTCCGTCAATGAGGTTATCCTTGCCAGTGAAGATGGGAGCTCCCCAGAAAAGTTGTTTGAGGTAAGAAGTCTACATCACAACAAAGGATAGACGATCAGAAAGCTCTCCTAAATGTCTAAATCATTATAACTAAAGAAAATTTAAACCAATTACTTGGAAGAAAATGAGAACGTTCAAAGATGAGGGGTCTTACAATCTTGATAAGCTGGTCAAATTTCCAAGTTCTGTGGGTAAACTTCCAGAGAATTGATTCATTTCCAGGACCCTAATCGAGCAAAAACATGTAACATTAGTCTTCTACCCACTAATTAAAAACCCAAAATGGACATAAACAATCCAATGGGAAATCAGAACTTACAACTCTGCAAGAGAGCTGATGTTTCCAATCGCTTCTGGGATTGGACCCGTCAACCGATTTGCAAGAAGCGAACTGCAAAATGACCCATAAACATTAGCTACATAAATCACATTGTGAAGACAACATAGAAACTTAGGGATAGAAAATACATTTTGAGGAGATTGGTGGAACCCCATTCTGGAGGGATTGAGCCGCTGAGATAGTTGCGGGTAAGATCACTGAATTAACAGAGAGAGAAGAAAGGCGAGATGGATTATGATGGGCAATTCATCAATGAAGCAGGTAAATGAATTAAGCAACAAAAAAAGTACTTACAGTTCCTGCAGGAAAGGCAGCCTCACTATTTGCGGTGGCAGAGTACCTGGAAGACTCTGCGCCTTCAGACTACTGCAATGACACCAAGGGAAGACAAACAAATAAAATTGAGTTTTAGGGATATTGCAAATTTCCTTTTTTTTTTTTTAAATATGTTTAAAATATTTTATTAAAAATTATGATGTCTTGAATTTCAACGTTACAATAATGAATTTTTCTTTTAATTATTGATGTAATTTAATAATAATATATTGCTTTTGTTTTCTTCTAACTATCTATATTTTATTTCTCAATGAAACTTAGATCTCCACGCATATCAATGTTTACTAATATTTTTAAATATGATTATTAAAAGCGATGAATTATGAGTTAATTAAGCCATAATTAGTATCTTGTTTGATAATCAAACAATTTTCAATCATTTTCATAATTTTTCTAACGTTTTCACGGACATCAAGGTTTTTAATATTATTTAATATAAATGATAACAATAATAAAATTAAATTAATAATAGATCGTAGAGAAAGAAAATCTGAAATAAACTACATATTGTCGGCTACCCAACGACGACTAGATGAAACGACAAAACCGCGCATTAAGCGCTGATTTGATCTGATTTCCTCTAAAAATGACTGGGATTGAAGTTTTAAGATCGGCTCGACCGTAATCCTTAGGATTATTGGCTGTATTTGGTCTATTTTTTCGCTGTTCAACTTTAAACCGTCGTCGGAGATGGTTGTTCTTGCAATTTGTGATTATTAGAGGAAATTTAGCGGTGGTTTTTATGGGGTTTCGCCTCACGGGAGTGTGAACAAGAAATTGGTGGATGAAATTTGAGGTTTATCACCGTTGGTTGCCGGAATCTGGAGGCGAGTTTGTGGGTATGCTTACTAGGGTTTTTCTTCCTCCATCTCACGATGAAAGATATGGTTGCAACGCCGCCGTCGGTGGTGGTGGAGAAGCGAACCACACCGTCGGTTCACTTAAAAGGAAGGAAAAGAGGTTGGGGAAGCCGGTTTGACTGAACCGGTTTGGCCCATTTTGGTTGGTTTGGTTCGCTGTCCTCCACTTTCAAGCCACCAACAATTCTCTAGCCGTGAATTTGCCCAAATAAAAGCAACGGTCCCTACACGAACACGAGATTATTCTCGACTGACAGAACCTATATATATACTAGAGATGGTAGCTACAGTCCCGAAGTTATAGGGTCCTTCTCTTTATATTCATGACTTCCTTAGGGTCGTGTCCTATTTGTCGCGCACACATATAAGGTCACTCCTGGTACGTATCAAATTCTACTAGAATATGTCCAAAACAACCGTAGAATCACTCCTTATACGTATATGATACAATTCCACAATAGATTTAAGATTCAGAGATGAAACGATTACAAAGTGTTCCATACCTTCGTATCTGTACTATTTCATCCATTATATATATATATATATGTGTATGTATATATGTATATAATAATTGTATAAAATTTAAATTTAAAATGTTGCTTTCAGTGATTTTAAAGCGAAGAAGAGATTAGAGAAGGAAAGAGCGTACATGTTGGTGACGTGACAGACGGTATTGTTCAGGAACGTGCAGTTGCAGGTGACATTATTAGTAAAATTAGGGTCGAACTGCGGAGAATCCGAAACCCAACCGCTGCTAACACCGCCGCATGGATCGGCGTCGAAATTCCAGTCCGTCTTCCCCAATGTCTTACCGATCTCCCTCAAGGCCTCAACTGAAACCAAACCAAAAATCGAACATCAAAATCAAACCAAACCAAACCAAAACAGAGTTCGATAACAGTTAAAATCTCCAGATCCGCGGCCAATACGGCGTCGTACCTTCGTCGTCCGGCAGCCGAGCAGCGCCGGAAGCGAGGGAAATGAAGCAGAGAGAGAGGAGTAAAAGGCGGGAGAGAAATGGAGCCAAAAACATGGCTCGGAACTGGGAGAAAGAAGAGAGGGTTAATGGAGTTGCAGTGAGTGGGAGAAGCGAGAAAGGTATTTGATGAAATTAAAATGTTTTTAATTTTTAAAAAAATTTTAATTAAAAAGGAAATTTGCGGAGTCAATGCAAATGGATACTGAAGTCAATTGAATGAATTATTAATTTGGGTTTCATAATTGGAAAATAAAAAAATAAAAAAAGAAATATTGAAAAATTGAGAATAAACTTCGTCAGAGTTGTAAATAGCCAGATATGATCCATTGAATACAAACCGACTCGTATTTCGGAAAAATATGAACACATTAGGTGTCAAATTTATTGTTTTTTTAGATTTAATTTAATTTAATTTAATTTAATTTAATTGTTCCAGATATAAAAAATTTTCAACACAAACCATGTTTATTATTATTTTTTGGTTAGATTATGTTTTGTTCCGGTCGTTTATTTAAATTTTTATTTTTAATAAAATTAAAATGTTGAATTTAATGCATAATAAATAATTAAAAATAATTATGAAATAAAATAAATATATAACGTATTAAGAATATATATATTAATTTTAGGTAACTCATGAACTAACTCGATCCATAAAATTTTTATTTATTTGAATCCAATACAAATTGTATAGGTTGGGTTGAGTTTAACCACATTTTCTCTGTGTCATTACATGATCAAAATTGACACTCAGTTATTAACTCACTACTAATAGATATTATCCGTTTTAGTTTGTTACGTATATCTGTTAGCCTCACGGTTTTAAAACGCATCTACTAGAGAGATGTTTTTATATTCTTACAAAAAAAAAAATAAATAAATAAGAGTAAGATCTCACCGTTATTATTATAGAATAAAAATAAGAGTTAAAAGTATTATAAAATTTTCAAATATGGAGAATAAATCATTATTCTATATAAAAGGTTTAGTAATCAAAAGTAATTATTACCTGAAAATAATGAAACCAATCAATTAATTTTTCCTTACTCCAATTGGTTTTTTTTTCTTCATGAAATGTTAAAATTTAACGTTATTATATGCGAAAATGTTAGCTCTTGAAGATTTAAATTTTACATTATCTTTCTTACCAACCAATCAATTAATTGCGTATTTAAATTTTTTCATTATTATTATTATTATTTTTGTTTGAACATAACCCAAAAATAATTTACTTATCATATAATTATATATTCAAATATTTATTTTAATTTCATAATTAATTTTTTATTGTCTAATCACTTTTTAAAAGAATAAAGTTATTAATGTAATTTTTTAAAAAAAAAATGAAATTACATACTCGAACAACCTTAACCAATTCAATATGAATAAGAATTAAACATCAATTTAACATTCATTTAAACATTGTTTTAAAACAACAAAGTGGGAAGAATTTGAAATATACAAGGATTGGCCATTTTGGCTCTCAGTACAGCCACATAAACAGGTGAAAAAGAATTTGTAGAACAAGCAAAAAGTAAGCAAAGGCATTTGAAGGCTAACAACGTAGTTACATATCTGCAACCAAAAATCATCTCAACCTTAGTTCCTATTCTCCAAGTATTTAGAATCCATGTTGATGGGGTAGAGATCACTGGCAGTAGTTGAAGAACCAGTCCACGGACCGTCCATCGACATACTTTGCGTCTGGCCCTCCCCTTTCTGCCGATAGATTTGGCTCCACATTGCGTTCATATCTTGTTTTGAGACACTAGGATCTGAAACCACCTCCTTTACGGCAATCTTCCCTTCCAGCATGCTCACCACGGATGACATCGTAGGTCGGTCTGCAGCAATGACGTTCGTGCATTGTAGAGCAACAGTGATCATCGTCATCGCCTCTCGCTTGTTGAATTCGGAGCCTAACCGCATATCCACAAGCTCTAGTAAACTGTCCTTCTCCTTTAGAGTATTAGCCTGAGAATAGAGGGATATAAATGGCTTCAGTTTTCTAGCTCTGATAACAGGTTTCATTTACTAGTATAAAACATCATGTTCCAGAGTAATCAGCTCAATCAAAACTTAGGAAATAGAACACAACGCCACAAGTTTGGTTGTCATACTCAAGCCTAGCAAATCCAAGATCAAAATCAACATAACTATTATCAATTTATGGAAAGCATTATTCCCCATAGCAGATAAGTAATCGAATATAACTAAGTTTAAAACCTACAACAAACTTGTGTTCCGTGTCACGGTCATACTTGTCCAAGACGTGTTGTCCATAGCCGCATGTCCGTTGCATGCCAAAACAGTTTCCTATCGTTTTTTCTAAGTGTATGACGTTTCGGCAGAATCATGTCTACGCCTAGTAGACACAAAATGTCTCAGAATGTACTATAGGGAGGTGCAACTAGTCATCAATTCTTTCTACCCTGAGTTATTTGTTATTTTAGTCATGGTGTTTTTTTCTTTGCTCATACCACCCATATAGCGTTCTCCCTGTCCCCGTTCTCTAAAACTTTCTTCTCAAAGCAGGGCCAAAGGCTTGGGTATACGTCGTCAGGCCGAAGGTGACACAATTTCGAGCCCATCGAGTGGGCTGACTCACTTGGTGGAGAGAGTGAGTGCCACGCAATCACTTACAAACAATCCGTAAAAAACGCAATTGTGACACTTCGCATCAAAATTGCATGACATGGTTATAGAAACAGGAATATATGTTTTCTAAAAACTTCTGGTGCAATAAATTATAATAGAACACAATGGATGTGCACAAGGTATAAAAGACGGAGTTAACTCACATGGTCTAGAAGGTAAAAGCAATCATCCTTGGTTCGGTAACTTGTGTTGCTTCGACCACTGACTATTTCCAAAGCCACAATGCCAAAGCTGTAAACATCTGCTTTGTCGGTTAAGTAGCCCCGCATGGCATATTCTGGTGCCATATACCCACTGCAAAACAATGGAAGGATGGCGTGAATATTTGGATAATACATCTCATCAAATTGAGCAGATATTGTCCTTTTTGGGCTTTCACTCAAAGTTTTAAAACACGTCTACTAGGAAGAGATTTTCACTCTTATAAGGAATGTTTTGTTCCCCTCTCCCACCAATGTGGGATCTCACAATCTACCCCCTTGGGGGCCCAACGTCCTCGTTGGCACACTGCCTGGTGTATGGCTTTGATACCATTTGTAACAGCCCAAGCCCATCGTTAGCAGATATTCTACATTGTAAAAGTATGCATGGTAACTCACAAGGTTCCAGCAACCCGCGTGCTGATGTGTGTATTTTCTTCTTCGTCCAGCTTCGCCAAACCAAAGTCAGAAATCTTGGGGTTGAGATTTTTATCGAGCAAAACGTTGGTAGCTTTGATGTCTCGATGAACAATCTTTAGTCTCGACTCCTCATGAAGATATGCTAAACCTCTAGCTATACCAACACAAATCTTCTGCCTAGTTGCCCAATCCAGTTTCAGTTGGAATTCTTCAGGTCCTATAATATACCAAATTTGCAGAGATGCTCATTACATCCATTAATGTCATCACCACTATAATTTAAAATATATATATATATATATATATTTTTACCGAACAAGGCACGAGCAAGGCTATTATTTTCCAGATACTCGTATACTAGCAAAAGTTGATTTGCTTCAATACAGCATCCATGAAGCTTGACTAGATGAGGGTGTTGCAATGCAGATATCATGCCTATTTCATTCACAAATTCGCGATTTCCTTGCTTCGACTTGGAAGAAAGTTGCTTCACTGCAATTACAGTGCCATCTTGAAGAACACCCTGCAATTCCAAACACAGAACTTAACACCAAAAATATAAAATCTATGGATGAAATGATGAAATAATGAAATCCAAACAACAGTAACACCTTGTAGACAGGACCAAAACCACCTTCTCCAATCTTATTGGCAGCGTCAAAATTGTTCGTGGCAGCTCGAATTTGTCTTAATGGAAATGAACCTGTTCCTAGATCTAGACCCTTCAACTCTGTAAAACAAGCATATAAAAGTGAAAAAGTTAAATTGATGATCTTTCTATCAGCATAATAATGTGGACGTGCTCGACATCAGGACAATATATGTGATTTCATTCACATCAAAGACATTGCAAAAATGTAGGTAACATTAGAATTCAAAGACAGGTTGAAAAAGTCTTTAAAATTTACCTTGTTCAAGTGTGCTTTTCTTTCGTAGGCAGCCTAACCACCACAAGACTCCAAGAACAAAGATGATAACAAAGATAACAGCAGCAGCCACAATTCCAGCCACTGCACCAGCAGATATGCCCTTTCCACCTTCTGATGGTGGCACAAAGTCTGTTTGGAAAGAAGGAAACAATAATTATATTAAACCTACTATAGCTTAATAAGGTTACAGACTTATATAAGTAACAAAAACTTGTCATCAAATAAAGGGTAGGCCGAAAAATGGGTCTACCAACCAGGATCAACCGAAATGGCAGAAATCAAAGGACCATATACCCCTCTCACAGGGATTGCAGTTGTCCCCTTCCCGGTCCAAAATAGGCGAATCTCTATAGTACCATTAGTCACAGGAACGGTGAATTTCTTTACAATAGGTTTGCCAATACCACCTGCAGCATCTGCAATATTAAAATCCTTCAACTCCAGCTTTCCCTGCAACATTGGAGATAAATAAATAAAAAAAATTCAAGCTAACGAAGTAATCAGTAAATTCGGTACCAGAAGAAGCTAACCATACAGAAAAATATTATACAAAGATATACTAAAAGGGGCTAAATATCAGATAATTTCTGCATGATCTGAGCCACAGTATCTATTTACCTGAACATAGACATCAAATAAGCGTCTGCCGAGGCTTCTATAAGATTTGTCATTGGTAAACGCTATCTCAGCGAAATGGAGGCTTACTGTGTAGTTTCCACTACCCATGCAATATGCATAGTAAGTAAGAGAAATTGGTGAAATACGTGCCCTCACGTACAATTCAGGATTTGGCATTGAGAGAGCAGATATATTTAATGCAATAAAGTCGTCTGTTGAGCGATCGTCATCCATAAAATTACCAGTGCTACTAAATCCCCAATTTTCTCCACCTTGGAAAAACAATGATGATTTGCCAGTGTTTATGTCTGCAACATATGTGGTTGTTCCGTTAATTAATTCTTCCTTCCCACCACAGTTGATATGGAGAGAGTACGAAGCTGCAAGAACAAGACCATATTTAGTTTCAAACTGATTAATGTATTTTTTCAGAATTATTATTAACATATCAATGCTACTTTTAAATAGCGACATCATCTATATTTCAACGTTTGAAAGGCTACCGAGAGATCTTGAATGCACTCCTTATTCTTTAGCATTTACACATTACTTACAGCAATGAAAAACCACCAAATATAATTTCTAAAATTTACCATTTTCCCTATCCCTCCAATAGTAAAAACAATGCTAGAAAAACAAGATTTCAACTCACTTCTTCCACAAGTGCTTGGTAAACATGAAACTGTTCCGCTGCTAAAACAAGAACAAGCTCGATGGTCATTAAAATATTAGAAAATTCAAGCAACAAGCCAACTCAAAGAAGAAAAAAACTCACGAATTATTGTCCTGGGAAGAGCTCGCAAACAGGTTTCTGCATGGAACAAAGGAGATTGGATAGAGTACTTCTCATGAGTGATAAAAAATTTATATAAAAATAAAAGCACTTACAAATTTCGAGATTGACAACCAGTGTTCTGGCCATTTCTCTGAGTAGTAAATTTGTTATAAGAGAGATCACTGTAAAAAAGAACAACAATCAGATATATTAGGAAGAACAAAAACCAGCTCTTCCCTTACATCCAAAGAGAAAACAACCATAGGAATGTTAATTAGAGCAATAAACTATACTTAACCTTTTTAAACTGTTAACTTTATCATAAAGAAAACGCTCAGATGTCAATTATTTAGAAAATAAACGAAAAACATTACTTTTGTACAAACAATTTTTTCCTTTTTATATCACTGGAAAAAGAAATGGTTAAGCAAGCAAGATGTTTTTTCCTTTTCAAGGTTGGTGCAATAAAATATTATTTGCTCTCTCCCTCTGAATATTCAGTACAAGTTATGTAACCAGAATATAACATTTGGAAAAGAAACTTACATGCTTTCTCCTTGCTGTAGCATCCAAGTGGGCACCGATCCATTTAGCAAGTTTCCAGTTAAATATCTAAACAAGAAAATATCAGATTATCAGTGCAACTCATAAGCTTTTGACAATAGGAATGTGGACATTGTATTTTCTTTTTCTTTTTTAACGAAAGAAATTATAAAGATGTTGCTACCAGATAATCCAGGTTACGATAAAATTCAAACATTTTACTCCATATCGAGATCTATACACATTGAGATTATAGTATAAACAAAAAGATCTACAAAACCGGAAAATACTCAGTCTTATCCCCCAAGTTATGCAAAGTAACTATCTATAGTTAAGGTATAGATTTCAAGTTTCTGATTACGTCACTTACATGCTATCCACTTTTTTCAAAGCTTCAAAGCTGACAGGTATTGCTCCTGTAATTTTGTTGAAGCTGAAGTCTCTGCAGAAGAAATTTAGCAAAAAAAAAATAATAAAATGTATTGCCAGAGAACAATGAAGAATAACTAAACATTAAACTTCCAATATTTCAATAACTGACCCAAGGAAGTTACTTTTACTATTTCAACATAAACCAAGGCATACTATTGGTTTTCTTTTATGATGAAAGCAAGGGACAGATGCGGATATTTGTCTCGTAAGTCATTTGTGCAGTGAAATATTGAAATTAACCATTACAAGAAATTAACCATCTTCTGAAAATTCATGAGACTGTGCTTAATCATGATATAACATATAGGAAGAAGAGAGAGTGAAATTTTACTGACAAGGTTTTCAACGCTGTCAACCCAGCAAGATTGTCCGGTAGCCCTCCAGCTATATTGCAACTCCTCAATATCCTATAGACAACCATAAACTAAATAAATAGCTGGAATTACGTACATGGATTTCTTCAAGTTTTCACAGAGGGATTAACTTACAAGGTTTTCAATTTTGTCAAAGTATTAAGGGGCGGAAAGGGTGATGAACCTCCATTCAAATCACTGATTCTCCTGCATTTTGCAACTCAAATATGAATAAATCGAAACATGCAGTACTCTAACTTATAAACCACGAGCAACGTGAGGCAAACTCACACATCAGTTAAGTTTGTCAAAAGTCCAATTTCAGAAGGAATTGGCCCACTCAATCCGCTCGCCTGAATTGCTCTGTCACAAGTAAATTAGTTGAGTAAGTTAAGAGATTAGCAACCAAGTAAACCTGTTAGTAACTAGACTAGAGAAAAAATTCTCACAGTTTCCCAAGAGCCGTCCAATTCTGTACAAACTTTGGTATTGGCCCTGTGAAGTTATTATCGCTAATTCGACTGCATTGTCACAATGAGAAGATTGTTTTGTTCATTCATTCATTCGGTTTCTCAAAATTAAACAAACGAAATGAAGGGTTCAAGAAAATTTCAAAAACTTACAAGTCCGTCAATGAGGCTATCCTTGCCAGTGAAGATGGGAGCTCCCCAGAAAAGTTGTTTGAGGTAAGAAGTCTATATCACAACAATCAAAAGTAAAGATAGATCATCAGAAAGCTATCCTAAATGTCTAAATCATTATAAGTAAAGAGAATTGAGAGACAATGAGAAAACTCAGAGATGAGGGGTCTTACAATCTTGATAAGCTGGGCAAATTTCCAAGTTCTGGAGGTAGACTTCCAGATAAATGATTCATTTCCAAGACCCTAAGCGAGCAAAAACCAGTAACATTAGTCTCCTACCCACTAATTAAAAACCCAAAATGAACACAAACAATCCATTGGGTAACCAGAACTTACAACTCTACAAGAGTGCTGATGTTTCCAATCGTTTTTGGTATTGAACCCGTCAATCGATTTCCAAGAAGGGAACTGTAAAGTTAGCCATAAACATAAGCCACATAAGAAATCACAATCTGAAGACAACATGGAAACTTGGGGATAGAAAATACATGTTGAGGAGCTTGGTGGAACCCCATTCTGGAGGGATTGGGCCGCTGAGGAAGTTGCGGGTGAGATCACTGGATTAACAGAGAGAGAAGAAAGGAGGAATGAATTATGATGGGCAATTCATGAATGAAGCAGATGAGAAACAGTGCGAGGTAAAGGAATTCAGCAACAAAAAAGAGTACTCACAGTTGCCGCAGGAATGGCAGCCTCACTATTTGCGGTGGCAGAGTACCTGGAAGGTTCTGCGCCTTTAGCAGACTGCAATGCCACCAACGGAAACAAATTATAATAATTTTGTATATAATTATTGTTTAAAGATTTGTATACTCTGAAAAGAAATATACAAAATAAGAAATGAGTTCTATATATATATATATAATTATTTAAGGCCGTCACGTGGGTGTACATGGTTAACCAAGTCTAAGGTCAAACAACAACCGCGGTTAGAGATAGTCAGAGATCCTGCGTGGCATAGTTGACTGGTAAACAATATTAATTATTATATTTAATATTTCTTATCTTATCTTATTAATAATATTTTTATATATTTATACAGTTGTCCGGATGCCGACGTGGGACCCACCGGATTTGAAAAACCAGCAATTAGTTGGCGAACGAAGGCGCCAACCTCTTTTTCTCTCTTTTTTTTTTTCTTCTTATTTTGATATCGATTCTTCAATAAATCAAATACCAAGTGGGTTTAATTTAATAATTATACAAAAAAATAATTATTTTCTTATTCAATTTTTTTTTTTTGTCATCTAAATTTAATTATAAAAGCTTTTGATGGGTAATTAGTTTGATCTTTAAAAATATATATATAGTTTTCACATTAAATTAAATTTTAACTTTTAATTTTTTTTCATTTTTATATACTTTTATAAAGAAAAAAAAAACATTTGACACAGTAGATAATTTAAATATCACAAAAAATTCAATAATTATATAATATTCAACCTAATTTCAAAAAAACAAAACTCAAAAAACTCAAATCAATTCAATATTGCACCTTAAATTTAAAATTTGTATTTAGATATAAAAATGTGGTGGATCAAATTATCTACTCCCGATATTGTCCATTCTAAGCATAAATTTTCATAGTTTTACTTTGAACTTCACCAAAATGCCTCATATACCAATGAGATAGTATTTCTGGATTATAAACCTATGATTATTCTTTAAATTATAGGACGTGGGACTTTTGTCATCCAAGGGACTCACTTAGCTACTCGACAAGAAATTTACACTCATCTCCCCGGTTTATACTCAATTTACCGGCCAAGTTTTTCAACCAAAAATTACAAAAATTAAGTAATCCAAAAAACAAAAAGGAAAAATCAGAATCGAAAATGATGATCCAAAAAGTTGAACAAAAAGTGAAGATGGAGAGAGAGAAGGAGCGTACATGTTAGTGACGTGACAGACGGTATTGTTCTGGAACGTACAGTCGCAGATGACTTTATTGTCAAAATTAGGGTCGAATTGTGCAGAAGTCGATATCCAACCGCTGCTAACGCCGCCGCATGGATCGGCGTCGAAATTCCAGTCCGTCTTCCCCAACGTCTTTCCGATCTCCCTCAGCGCCTCGACTGAAATCAAATCAAAAACCTAAAATTAAAATTAAAATCCGCTTACTGTAACGAAGACTAGATCTGCGTCCAGTATGACGTCGTATCGTACCTTCGTCGGCCGGGAGGCGAGTAGCGCCGGACGCGAGGGTAATGAAGCAGAGAGATACGAGAAAAGCGACGGTGAGAGAAGGAGCCGAAAACATGGCTCGGAAGTGGCGGAGGAACGGCAGTTGTGAGTTTTCCGGCGGAGAGAAGGCTAAGAATTGCGGTTGGAGGAAGGTCTGAATGAAAAGAAAACCGCCCTTTGTTTCGTCATCGGTGAGTTTCAATTTAATACTAAACAGAGAGAGAAATGAGAGAAAGATTGGGAATAGTCGAAGGACGAATAAACAAAGTCAACTTATACTCTTTTGGAAGTGACTTGAAATTACTTTCAAATATCTTTTTATAAAAATAAAATTGTAAATCCAAAAATTAATTAATTACGAGTAAACTAATTATTTTAATCCAGTCAACTAATGTAGAAACATCTGCACAATATTTGTTAGCAGTAAGCTTGAGCTGTTACAAATAGTATTAGAGCAAAACGAAGGACAATGTGTCAGCAAGGACGTTGGGCGGCAAAGAGATGGATTGTGAAATCCCACGTCGGTTGGAGATGGGACCAAAACATTTAGAGCGTGGAAACCTCTCCCTAAATGACTCATTTTAAAACTATGATGCTAATAGTAATGGCGAAAGTACGAACAATATCTGCTAACAGTGGGTTTTGATAGTAATGGCCAAAATACGGACAATATCTGCTGACGGTGGGTTTTGATAGTAATGGCCAAAACACAGACAATATCTGCTTGCAATCGGTTTTGATTGTTACACTGTTTTCATCTACCAATAGGAACAAAAAGTTTGAGATGTGTTTGGTGTTTCTTCATTTTAAACTATTCGTTAAAATTCGTTAAAAGTCTTTTTTTCAATTACTCTGAACATCCTCCAAATTATCATCATATCTACGCATTTGATTAACAACAGCCAAAACTAAAGAAAAATAATCATAAAATTACGATCTTTACTGCAAAAATAGATCGACTCAAATAATGTTGTAATGATTCCTCTGGCTTTACGACCTTTACCACAACGATACTGTAATAGATTGACATAAAATTATGCGATATTGGTACCTTTGACATTACGACTTTTACCACAAAAATATTATCTGTAATAGATCAATTAAATTTTGCAATAACGATTCTTCTAGCATTACAACCTTTTTCACGATATCGTTGATCCACAGATCGAATTATTTTAAATATTAAATTTTACTTAATTGTCTACAGCTCCATCGCGCGTGCTCGGGAAGAAGTTTAGCAAAAAAAAAAAAATTAATATCTAATATAAAAGTAAGGTAAATTTACTCAAGGGTCAACAAAAATGCAGCAACACAAAAAGACGCGTAGATTAATTAAATTGATAAAAATAAATAAATAAATTCAACAATTGAATAATTGAAATGTATGGAGACAAAAGAGATGTCATGTTTTGGTGTTCCAGATATATATATTTTTTTAATATAATTCAGATATATTGTTTTCATTTTTTTTTAATAAAAATAATAAATTTTAACACCTATATATATATATATATATGAGGTCAAGTTGTCTGTCTTTAATTTATGTCTATGTAGTGTATTTTTTTAATATTGTATTTATTAATTTTTAGTTTTTATTTGGAGGAATAAAAAAATAATAAACAATTACAGGCTGGAGGTGAGTTAAGTATATTGATTAGTATGTATTAATTTTCATGCTTTTACTAATGTTTTAAATGCAAACCTAATTCAGAATTTTCTAAAACTTTTAAAGTAAATAAAATAATAATAATAATAATAATAAATAAATATAATAGAATAGAATAGAATAGGGTGTGATACTTGAAGCTGAAGTTACAAAATGCTCGAGGGTTAGATTGGATCGGGTTAAGAATGTAAATTTTTCAGCTGAAAAAATTAAATAATGAACTCAATTCACCTGATCATAAATTTTTTGAACTGGGTGGGTTCCCGAAGTCATTTATTCAAAATTTTATTTTAATAAAAATTAATTTTTTATTAAAAATTATTTTTAAGGATTATTGGAGAATAAATAAAAAAAAATGAAATAATATATATATATATATAAATACAAAAATTACTTGAAAATAGTGAATTTTGTATAAATGATAGAAAATACTTTTTAATTATAAAAAATATAAAATAAGATATTTTTTTTTTGTATAAATTAATCTTTAAAAATAATAAATCTTTGTCTTTTCCAATCATTAGTCGACACGTTTCTTATTTTTTAAAATTTAATTTGGAAATTAGGCGGCGAATTGATGGGCAGGGAACAAGAGGGAGGAAAATTAGGTTTAATTTAGAATTTCAAGAATATAATATATTCTAAATTTCAAGGTCTTTTTTGTCTTCTTACTTTTATTTATTTATTTATTGCTAACCAATTTAATAATTAAAATTTATTGATTATACCAGTAAAATTTGGAAAACCGTGTTTGGTTAAGAAATAATTATATTTATTTAACCTAAAAATGCTTTAAAATATATTAATGTATCACATGTCATGCATCTGTCTAACCATAGGTTATATTGTTATAAGAAAGGTTTAGGTATAAATTCGATTAATTAATTATATAATATGATATAAAATTCAATGATTCCTCCTTTTATGCTGTCTTTTTTTTTTTTTGGGTCAAACTTTGATGCTTACGGATTTAGATGTTTGAAAATTAAGATTTCTTTTTCCACTAGAACCGTTTACGAGAATATAAAACTCTACCTTTAAAAAGATATTCTTACGTATGTGGTTAGGAAGACCAGTCACAATCTAAGTTGTACGACCCACCCTACTCTATCACTTACAGATGGTCGTTCGTTCCATAGTCGCCCGAAAATGAACTACAGTGATCTTGAATAGGAAACTTACAGTGATAGATAAAATTCTCGAAAAAATAACACTAGATCGAGCACCAATGATTCCCGCACCTGAAAGCAACTCCGCCTAACCTACTAATAATAAGCCGTTAATTTTTTTTCCATGAAAAACATTAATTTTTTTACGGTACCCTTATTTGAAAAGTCATAATATTATTGAAATTTTTGAAAGTAGTTAAAAGATTTAAGAATATATTTTTTAAAAAGTTATTTTTAAAAGGTTAAAATGCCTTTTTAAAACCTAATATTTTTCTATGCCTAACATTGCTAGTTGATGCAACAAGTGCATGCATATATCGAGATAGACTTGGTAGTGTCAAACAACTTAGTATACGTCTCGGGTTTTTAATTGAACCTTTAGGGTTGGTGTAACAGAAAAGTTTGTCTATAAATTTGACGTTTTTTTATTAATTTAATACATCGTCATTAAATGATAGATCGAGAAAAATAGGTAACAAACAGTACATGGCTATGAAGCCATCGTTTGAGGGTCAAGGATTAAAAAGTCAGCCAAAAAGGACAACGCTCTTGTCTGGTTCAAAAAATGGTGGCCGACCCTTTAAGGATGTTTCCTGGTACGATCCACAGCCACCCATTTGAATCCAATCCCAAGTTGTTTTTTTTTTTTTTTTTTTTTTT